ATCAAGATTTTTTTTTAAGCATTTCACCCCAAGCAAGGCGGGAAGCCACAAGGACACAAGGGGTTACAGAATGTTTAGAGCAAGATCAGATAGAAGTGATAGAAGAAAGGATGAGGGTAGTGGATAGATCAAGGCAACTGGAGATGTCGATTGACATTACACTTGAATAGCTGGAGATTATAGCTCACAGGGAAACAAGAATAGGGAATGGAAGTTCCACAGATGAGAGGTAAGAGACATGAAGCTATTAGAGTAGAAGAGACGGCTACATTTAAGAGTTTCGACAGTGAAGGGGTGAGAGCGGGATGCCAGCCTTGTAAGGCGCTTGAACTCATGACGTCTGGGAACCAGCGAATGCAGCTCCTCGGAACAATTTCCATGAAAGTATTTGTAGAACAGACATAGGGAGGCGACGGCGCGTCTGTGAGAAAGTAACTGTAGACGGGACGCCAGGGCAGTGCGTTTATACATGAAACAGACTGTAGCCTCTGGGTGTTTACTTCAATGTCCATTTTTATATTTACATATGCTCTTTCCTTGATATTGAGCAATTTAAACCATAAGAATAGCATAACTTAAACTTATATTTTATCATATGTGTGTGTGTTGATAGATATAAATTTATTTCTGAACCGAGAGAAGTGAGAAAGATATTAACAGAGAGATGCTATCGTATTGAGTAGTGAAACAGGTAGTTCGCTACCTAATAAGCAATGTACATAGATAGATAGATAGATAGATAGATAGATAGATAGATAGATAGATATGAAAAGGAGAAAAGAAGAAAGAAGGAATTTTAGAGAGAGTTATCGAACTAAGGGTAGTGTACATGAACTACAAACTTATTTTGGCTAGAGTGAAGTATTAAACTGAAGGAAGCCTATATATTTTGAAAGGTATTTAAATACAGTCAGGTTATTGCAATGATATAAGTCTATCTATTACAGCATACCAGTTAGTTAACTTGCAACTTTAGAAGGAAAGTGTGTGATCTCACACATTATGATATTATAGAGTAAACAGACAAATACACAGATACATAGAGCAAACTGAATATACAGGACCCATATGTTTGAGTTGTCTATGTGTCATGATGCTTCATCCACAGATGATGCTGCCTTTAATGGCCATTCGCTGTCTTGTCCAAAACTGTCTTCTAATTAAGCAAATCCGGTCGAAAGAAACAGTGTGAATAACGCTATCTAATTAAGGCCCGGCAAGAGGTAAAGCTTGTATCACACAATACCAGCCGTACGTCTTTTTCTCTTCTCTAACAATCCAAATCGTCTGCAGAGCGCTCTGACGAAGTTGGGCATGAAGTTTGGCTTTCCGCCAATGGAAACAGGTCGACACTACTAGAATCTTAACTGTCCACTCCCATTTCTTTTGCTTTATTTCTAGATTTTTATCTTTTCGTTATCCTTTTCTTGTTCACTGCGTCTTTTCAATCGTTTTGTGTTTTTCATTAACTATCCAATAATGTCAGATCTTCCTCCGTTTCGTTTTCCTCTCTTTTCTTATTTTCTTGTATTCGCCATTCTTTTATATATCACTTAAATTTTTTACATTTTTATATTCTATCGTGCCTTCCTTTGCTTTTCGATTTCTGTGTTATTCATCCTTACATTTGTTTTGCATATACAACGAGTCAGTTTTATTACACAAGTCAATGTCTTTACAATTACATTGATAATAACTAAACTTCGTTGGTAAGCTTAATAGGGTACACATACATTTTATAAGAATTATATCATTTGTGTTTCAGGCTGCCATTTTGAAAAAAAAAATAATGATAATATCTTATTCAGGGGCTGTCGTATATTTACTTTTAAACAAACTAAATACAGTATAAAACGTTATTTCTAAATCCGAAAATATATTGGCTATATAAATATTTTCTGTGGTACATTATCGCATATTGTTCTTCCAGGTACTATCAAAACTTGGCTGATCATGGCTCTCCATCTCTTTCTATGCTTTGTAGCTCTTAGTATGGTTTGTCTTTTCGTAATCTCTCTTTTGCCATGCATTTACACAAGCTTGTTAGGGGAGGGTACTCGCTGATTCCCTCTTTCCCTTCTGCCTTGTGAGTGTCAAATTCTCCAAGCTCTGTTTCTTTATTACATGTCCTAACAAATTCATCTGTGTTTTTTTCTGCTTCTAAATATATGTATCCTTTTCTCCAGTTTTCCTTAAAATACACTCGTTACTCAGATGTTCACTTCATGCTATTCTCAGTATCCTCCTGGAGAACCACATTACTGTTTCATCAAGTCTCTTCTTCATCTGGAGGAGACTGTCCAGCATATAAGGGAAGGCTGATATGACATAACGAGTTGAGATTTTTTTTCTTTGTTTTTCACCACAATTTCTTATTTCTTAATAGTTTGCTTAGCTTTTGAGAGGCACTTTCAATATCCCAAAGCGCATTCAGATTTTGTCGTTGCCGTTTCCAAGGTTCACTGGTTTTGGAATCTCCCTTTCGTTGCAGGCATTTTTGGCTATTCCCCTTTCTTACCCCCATATATTCTGTCTTCCTACATTTGATGTTTAATTCTTCTTGTCGAGGAATTGCTTTAGTTTTTCTTTTCGGTGTCCGCTATCAACACTATGTCATAGATATTAACATGGCCTTGTAGCGTCTTCAACATTTTCCAGCATTCATTCGGTTAGTCGTTTCTGTTTAACAAGTTTGATTAAACCCTAAATATCTAAAAGAAATCCTTACTTCACCATATATATATATATATATATATATATATATATATATATATATATATATATATATATATATATATAAAGTTGTAGCCTCTATCAGTCTTTTTTTTCTTTTTGTTATCGAACTCATAACCATATATATTCTGAAACTAAATTACCCAGCGTACTTGGATAAGTATATTTCATTTTGATCAAAGGGGGGCCCGGAGAGTACAAATACCCATTAATTTTTCTCTTTGATATAAATTAAATTTAAATTTGAACAAGAGAATGACTCTTAGGTACTTGGATAAGTATATTTGATCGAAGGAGTTCCCCGAGGAGGTACAATCCATCAACTGAAAATGTTTTCCCTTTGAGTTAAATTAAAATTAAATTTGAAAAAGGGAATGACTCCTATCCAAAATATAGAAGGAGAAATCCAGAAGATCAAGGTCACATCGGCAAGATCAAAATGGACAATATGGTCGTGAAGTTGAGCAAGAAATCAGTGGGTAGTGCCTTACAATACATATTTTTGGCGACAGTTCAACTGTCATATTATTGTTGAAATCTGCTCATTAATTCTTTCAAAGTTTTGCATCAAGTACATATCAAAGGGATCACATCAAGCTGATTTTGCACAAACAACCCACTGAAAATTTCCCTCCTTTGATTTAAATTAAATTTAAATTTAAACAAGGTAATAGTTCTTATCCAAAATATAGAACGAGAAAGCCAGAAGATGGAGGTCATTTCGGTACGATCCTTGATTAATATTGAAATGCATCATTTTTCTCTACAGATTATAACAATGATTTAAAATCAGTCATCATTCTGTTTGAAATTCCAATCAACTGAAGTAACCCGGAGCGTACGAAGACCGAAACGTTATGGATTTAAAAATAAAGATGAGGACAATATTCAGAAAAATGGACATACTATAAATAATTAAAATAACTCACATCGGAAATATAGATAGATACTGCATCATCTGCATGAAAATGATCGATTTTAGGATTTAATTTCTCTAAGAAGCGCCCACAATACCATAAATAATCGAATACAAATAGGCTCACACAAAGACACACACAGAAGCAAATATATTTCTAAACCTAACGGTCCCGAAAACATGTAAAACTTATAATATATTACAGAAAATGGAAAACCGCAAAATCAATCAACTCCAGACTAGCGATGACCAATACTGTATCAATTTCATTGCCCAGTACACGATTGTGTTTCTTGTCATGCATAAAATACATTTATCGAAAATACTACCGCCTCCTTGGGTAGACGGATCACATGTCACTTATCTGATCAAAGTTCTATAAACAAAAACATCTAGCTATCCACAATTTACAGGAACCCTTACGGAATATGCTGGTCGAAAACAATAGAATTCTATATAGATAATATTACCGGAAATAACTCGCTAGAAGAGAGGCTATATATTAAACATCCCTCCTCCTCTATCATTTTCACGCTATTTAACAGCGGGAATGGTGTATTGAAAGTTTTTGAAAAATAGAAAGAAGTTCAGTTGAAATCCACCCCGATCAACACGTGAAGGCTCGGAATAAACGTTATCACTAGTATTCAAAATAACACAAAAAATACATCCTAAACAGTTATAGCATAAAGAGAAATTAAGAAAAAAAAAACACCTAAAGAGACCCTCTTGATAATGGCGAAATACGTCACCCAAAACACTTGTTTCAATTCGCAATATGGACACTTTTCCCACTCCTTTACTCCAACCAAACGGAACGATGTACAAATGCCGGTAAAACTAAATAAAAAAAAAATAATTAAATTTTCCTTGTCTGTCATATTTAAGGAAAGATGTTTAAAATACATTTTGTTACCTAAATATTCATATGTAGTGTGTGTGTGTGTGTGTGTGTGTGTGTGTTAGAGGTACTCCACTTTCTGTTTCTACGGATGAGTGCATAATAGTTTTAAGAATTAACCGCTACACTATTCACAAAGATGGCAAGATTATAGCGAGAAAATATTGTGTAGAAACAGCCACAAGTTTTTGAAAAAAAACATGTTAACTGAGAAACAGTGCAGAATGGAACATGGACCTTCAAATCATCGGCTCATATTTCAATTCAGTGGTTATCTCATACTAGATTTGCTTACACCCAAGCCAAGCAAGCACAGCCTGCCCTGACGAAAATGTAAACATAAGCAGAGCAAGAATAAAATAGGAAAAAAAAACTGCACTAGCTTACAACATCAACTGAAAAGTAGAGTAGAGAATAACGATAATCACTTTCGAGAAATATATATCACTTAACCGATAAATATCAGTCTCTTTGCAAATGAAAATAAGAACAAAAAACAAATACCTGCTACGCTATCTACAACCACATCACAACACCAAAGGCTAAACAACAGAGCAGTTACTTAAATGTAATCCACATTATTTTAACAAATATACGGAATAATATACAAACCAACTTGGATATTGTATACGGAATAATAATTAATAATTAATTAAACCAACTTTAAATATAGCCCATAAATAGCCCGAAACCAAAGAACTGAAATTAACAGATTAGTTGGTCCACAGTATACTATATAAAGAATCTGGACATGGAGCAGGAAAATGTTGTGTATATATACGCTGAAATCATTCATTTAACATGTATTATTAAAAGCATTATGTATAAATATCTACAAGATGACAGAAAGAAATTAGTTTTTTTTCCGATCCGTTTCGTCTCCCGACTTTTTCAAAGCAAAAATGAAATCGAAATGTTTTTGTTATAGTTATATTACAAAATCCAAATTAAAAAAAAAAGACTGGCACTTCTGCGTAAACCTCTTCCTGGTTAATGCAAATTTCCCTTATAATATGAGTTTGTTTTCTTTCTATGTCGACAATATAGTTAATTTCCCAGATTAATTCTGTAGACAAGACAAATTGGTCAAAGATTACAATTGGAAAAAAATATTCTTAGTTTCGGGATGTTTATGTTTTGTTCTGACTTTGTAATTTCAACTGTTTCTGTTTTTATTAAGAATTGGCTGTTATTAATTTTGGGTCCAATATTTTATTGGCTATATACTGGCACTAATTTTTTGATGGCTGAGATTCGAACGTCA